AAAATCTTAATATCTGATACATGGCACAGGTGACTAAGTTACCACATTAACATGAACACTGTTTTTTTTTTTTAATTTTGTTTTGGGGTGTTTTGTTTTGTTTTGTTTTGTTTGGTGCTGGGGATCAAACTCATGACCTTGTGTTTGCCAGGTAGATGCTTATGCCACTGAGCTAAATCCCCAGCCCTGAATACTCTATTTTTATTATTAGTTCTCTTGTTGTCTCCTTTATCTTACCTTAAGATACTGGTAATAGAACTTGTCATACATTTATTCATGAGTTCACTTCTGAAGCTCTTAGAATCCTGGGCCAGACTTCTAACATTCTTGAGTGTGTTATTAATTTCTTTTTCTGGTAACTAAGTTTTTTAATTATTCTATTATATATATAATAGAATTTTAAATTAGAAACACATGTATTATTTAAATACATTTACATATCTTTGTTCATCAGGGAGAATCACCACAGCTTTTAAAATATTCACTTAACATGGTAAGTGGAATAGTCAAATTCCATCTCTAAAGATATCTCTGTCTTAACACCCCAAACTGTGAAACATCTTATGCTACATGAAAATGTGGGGATTAAAGCTACAGATGAAATTAAAGTTGTTGTTCAGTGACACTGGATTACCTGGGTGATCAGTGTTACCAGAGGAGTCCTTGTGAGTGGAAGGGGTGAGCAACAGAGAAAGAACTAAAGAGAATGCTTGATGAAAACTGACTCCAAGTTGCTGGCTTTGAGAAGGGAAGACAGTCATAAGCTGCAACTGGCTTCTAAAATCAGAAAAGACACAGTACAAAACATCCAGAAAAGTATGAGGCCCTGACAGCAGGTCCAGCCAGACCTGTTTTGGTCTTCTAGACACACACACACACACACAATATTACAAGATAATCAATTTGTTATTTTAAGTCACTAAATTTATGACAATTTGTCACAGTTTCTATGAAAACAAATGTACTCATTTTACAGAGATATAAACAAACCAATTCGAAAGATGGACATGAATGTCTAACTCATTTCATAAATGTGACCAGAAATTTCTACTACAGTGTGAAGCGATACAAGCATGGGAGGTGACAAAATCCTTGTCATCTGTGTTGTCCTGTATGTCACCAGCAGCCAGACTCTGAGCCCTGAAAGATGGCAAGTACAACTGAGGCCTTGCATTTTTACTTTTAATCTTAATTAATATTTAAATAGCTACCCGTAAATATTGCTCATCAAGTTGGAAAGCACAGTTAGTGCCTGAATCTCTCTCTATAATCTGCCAAGTATTTGAAAAGCAATTTTAACAAAAATAATACTGCACTCCATCAGAAACAAGTCTTTGCCTGTTCTAAGGATGGATGCTGTGTTTAGTAAACTGTGTACTTCATAAATATTTAATGAAGCCCGTGGGTATATGGTGGCAGTCACTGTGAACACGTGGCTGTATGGGCGGACAGTTTCTCAGGAAAAGATAATAGCCCTTTGCAGTCAGATTCCAGCCAGCCCAGCCTCCGTGACAGTGAGGCAGGTTTCCAGTCAGCAAGCACCCCTGTTATCTACCGGCCCTGAACCTATGCATTTGTGGTGTCACAGGTCAGAGAAACAGAAAATCATTTCAGATTCATTCCAAACTGTTGGAACTGTGCAGTGTGATGCTCTTTTTATGCTTTTCACTTTGCTCATTGATTCTGGTTCTAAGTGATTTAACTTGTACGTTTGCAACTTGCCTGTGTGCCATAGTTTTTCTCAGGTGGTCTGGGGGGAAGATAAAAACAAGTTTGAAAAGGGGCCGTACATTATAATAGACTGTATTTTGAGAATTTAGTTTTTAAATAGTAGGTTAAAAAAAAAAAAACTTACATACTTGTAACCCATTAAAATTAAATTCAGTTGATTTTAGTTTTGCTAGAATCATGAAATTTTACTTGTTTATACTTCATTTTATGAAACAACAAAGAAAATTATGATTCTAAAACAATCTCTTGCCTTCACCTCATTCTCTGTTCTCCATTATAAATTTGAGACCCTCACATTTCTACCCTGCACAAATTATCGCAAAAAGAGAAACTTACAGAGCAGCGCTGATTTAGGACTAAAGTGTCCCCGCAAAGTCTCATGTTCAGAGAGGTACACTGGCTGGAAGGGCCTGCTGATGGCCTGGCCACCGCCTTTTTCTCTCTGCCTCACGGCTGTCCACCATGACCCGAGCAGCTTTCCTCTACCGAGCCCTCCTGTTGTGTACTTTCTGTCTTGGAGACATCTAACCATGGACTTAACCCTAAGAAACTGGGACCAAATCAAGCTTTTCCTCATGTAAGTTTCAATTCTGAGGTATCTTGTCTCAGTAAAAAGAAAGCTTACTGATACAGTGAACCTGGGCTAAACTGTTTTGTAAATGAATGTAAAAACCTACTCTTCAACCTCTGTAAGACACCCCAGAAATACTAGTAAGTCTTTTATATATGAAGAGATGAAATGCCAAGAAGATTCTGAGACATCCTTATGTAGTTCGCAATCTGAAAATCTAGGATTGCAATGTCAGCAAACAGGAACTACAGATTTCTCTCCTAGATATATAAACTACATTGAATCCAACAACCTCATTATAATGTACAATCAGAGGGTATCATTTGAAGACTAGATTCCAATTAATTTGCTACTATTACTGCAAAATAGCCTAATTAACAATGTTACAACTAATTAATTTATGTTGTAGGACTGACATTTGACAACGGAAACAGTTTTTCAGGAAAGAAAAGGCAAGTCAAGTTTCTGCATCTAAGAATGTCAGGGAAAACTAGTTATAAGAGTGGGCATAGAGTTGGAATCCAGAAATCAAGAAATTCTGGATATTTCATTCTCAAACTGGTAAGCTATGACTAGTGGATATGAAATTATATATGATTGCGAATTAGGCTGTATATATGATTGCAGTGGAAAAGCTGAAATCTCTGTCATGTAATATTTCATTACTCCTTTAATTAGACAACTAACTGGCCCATGTAATGCAAATTTTCCTGATTTTTATCTCAATCTGGATCCTTCTGTCTTGGCTTTGAGCTCTCCTCCAAGTTATGTGAGCAACTTTGTTAATGGAATGCACTGTAGTACCTCTCTATAATCCCTCTCCCTAACCCAATCTCATCTCTGCAGAGTAATTTTAAAATGCAAATCTTATTAAGTTGGATCCCACTGAACACCTCTCAAAGTCTTCCTAGCCTCAAAATCAAAATAAACAAAAGACCCAAAATAACCCCAGGCTATCATAATCATTCATATCAATACATTAATCTTTAATTCTCCCTCACTAACTCTCCGAGCCTAGTATCTAGGTTTTATTATTCCTCTGATATGATGCAGCAAATTTGCATCTTACAGGATAAAATCATGCATAATGTAATTCTGCTTGAAAAACTTTTATGAGGGAGCTAGACAAACTGTGATGGGAGAAAGGAAAAAGGAAGAAAGGAAACAATATATGTAAAGGCAAGATAGTTCGCTAGCTTCTCTTAGTTCCTTGAAAAGAAAGCTTTGTACTAGTATCATTTAACAAGATAACGTACCTATATCTAGTATTCTGAACAACTACAATGACAATGCACAATGTATCAAATAATCTGGTTTGAAACTCAGTTTCATTGTTCTTTTTTTTTTTTTTTTTTTTTTTTTTTTTGCTTTTTCTTTTTTATCAGTACCAGGGATCAAACTCACAACCGCCTGCTTGCAAGGCAGGTGCTTATGCTGCTGAGCTAAATCCCCAGCCCCCACTCAGTTTCATTGTTATATTTATCTTTTTTTCTGTCTTTAAAGCAAAGCAAAACAAAACAAAAATGAACACACACACACACAAAGGATTAACTGGAACAGTCCTTTGCCAGCTTGCTTCAAACTGCCCACAGTAGATTTCATAGCCGAAATTTCATCTTTCCCCTCATTTTACCCAACAGATAGATGGCCAGGCTAGGTACTGAGAGGAGAACCAAAAGGAAGATCACATGCCCACGTGCTAACAAGGCAGGTACTTGATCAGAAAAACCTAAAACTAAGGACTCTTCCCTCTGAACCTCTGAAGAACGACTTGGCGCCACATCTCCTCCTCCTTTAGCTCTTGGTCTCCTTCTCAGGAGCAGCCCTTCAGGTTTTGCTGGTAACCACAGCAAGTTTGCAGCAGTCAGAGGGGAAACCAAGCAGGGCTGGAGCTGGAGCTTAGAAATCACATCTAAGTCCCACATCACTCTTGTTGCTGCCTTTCCTACTTCTGGACACACATTTCTACCTTCCTGGTTGAGAACTGCAATGTTATTATCATGATAACAAATGAGACTGTAATACAGTATAGACAAGAAATGTTATTTTTTAACAAACATGAAGACCATGGTAAGGTCAGCATACTTATTGAATCTGATCTGCACACACACACACACACACACACACACACACAACCTACTAGCTGCCATTTCATTTACGCTTGCTTGTGTCACCTATTGTTTTAAACAATGTGCCTGTGTTAACTTGGTCATTGTTTACAGAAACACTAGACTTTGACTCATTTGAAAAAGGAGAAGGACCTAAGAACAACAAAGATACTATATGAAGTTTTCAAGTTTCTATACTAGTAAGTATGCTTAGGATTATTTTAAAGTTGGAAATTTGAATCACCATCCCTCCTGCTATCTCAAAATCTCTAAGGAATTTGAGGATTATTTTTTTTAGTTTCAGTTAATTATACACTGATAGTTCATATTCAGTTTTCATACTTGAATTTTAACTCCTGTCTGCAGCCCTAAACAATCACTTTGGCAGATTATTAAGGTGTCTATCCTCTCTGCCTCTACCACCAAGCAGTCCTGAAAAGTTAACCTGACCATGTTTTATTCCTAAGTAAAAACTCTTGCCCCAAAACACTTTCTTATTCTCATCAGCAACCATTTGTGGGAGTCTTGTGTGCTGCCTCTTGGGACCTTATTTATTAATCTCCCCCCTCTTCAGTCAAATGCGATCTCACCTTTCTTTCCTTCTCTTCCTTTGTGCATCTCTTCTACTCGTTACTGGCCCTCAAGATCAGAGCTAAGCCCAGCATCAGGCACATATGCCAGTAGAGAAAAAAAATCAGTGGACTCTTCGGATGTCCTTCTCCTCCTCCTCCGCAGCAACACATCTCTCCACAGCCGACTCCGAATCCTCCCCATATGGAATCTTTGTGCACTTCGACAGAGCTTGAGAAGAGACAGTAGTGAGCAGAACATCTCATTACTGCCTGGAGCTACAAGTACAAGATGTCTAAACCCATCCAGAAAGCCGACTATATTCCACTGAGTTTATTCACATGGAGAAATCCTGCAGGCTAGTGGCTAAAGGCATGAACTTCAGACTCAAACTATGTTGTTTGGAATGCTAGTGTTCCTCTTTGCTATATATAGCCCTGGCTTAGCAACTTGATCTTTCTGTCTCTGTTGTCTATACATAGAAATAGCATGTAAAATCCTGAGCTCAACACTTTATGAGAATATATTACTCCTAAGTGCCAGCAGTTATTACTTAGGGTCACAAGGCTTTGGATTTTTTTTTTTTTTTTTTTTTTGTCTTTTAACCCCTAACTCTTATTGATGGGGGAAAAATCATTTATCTGGCAGGAGAGTAGACTTTCCTACTCCACATGCCACGTCACTGTCTGCCTGTCTGGAACCTGACTTGATGGTTCATTTAGGAAAAGCTGGTGTTTGTAAGATGTTTTTCATCTGGAGATAGCAGATTTGCACTAAGCTATTACAGAGTCTGTCCTTTTATTTAGTTGTGGCTAAAGACAGAAAACTAGACAGGATTAGGATTCCAGGGATGAGTGTGGAGCACCTAGGAGCAAACAGCATTCACCGCAGCATTAAAAACACAGTTGTGGGCAGTGAAGTAATCAGCCACACACAGACCTGGAATGCAAAAAAAACAAAAACACAGGGCCCTGTTGACCACAGGTGTCACCCTTTCAACTCCTCACCACCTGCAGGCTGATAGGAATGGGTTTAATACAGATGAAAAAGACCCCAAACACAAATCTATCCATCCGGCTCAAATCTTACCTCTTAAGAATCATTTCAATTCTGAAAAGCTGGGAACATACAGGAAAAAGCAAGTTTATCTGACTCTTGTGGTACTGCTCTAGCCTGACACACTCTGCGTAGCTTCTCTGAAATAAATGAAATGTGATTATCTTCATCCACACCAACAGTACCAGCAGAGTAAACCTGCTTTGCAGACCAAGTACCAGGGCTTTAGTGTAGATGTAGCCTTGGTGTTATCAGAAAGACGCTGCTCAGAGCCTTTCCGGGACCTGGGGAGGCTGGTAGGGCGACAGCACTCACTAATTTTAACCTGAACTGCTCCAGATTAAGAGTCTTCACGCCTCTCACTCCTATCATCCCTTTCTTTCAGCTCCCCAAACCCGCATGCAGGCCAGAAAGTTACCTGAACCAGCCTTCTGCAAACGGCCCGAGTGGATGAGGGTGACAGGACCTTGCTATTCCTCTCCTTCTCCTTCAGATCATGCTTTTATCATTTCGCCCAAAAGGTCGCTCTTCTCTCTTATATGTGGGCATCTCTTGTTTTTCTCTCCTTGTTTGTGTCTGCCAAATTTCTTCTGTTTTTTAGTAAAACCATAGAGGTTAGTCCTCCCGCCGCTCCCACCACATACCAAAAGCAGTTGGGAAAACATTTCAATTACCTCCAACCGCAACATCACATCTGAATGATTACAAAGAAGAAAGCTTTAGGGACCCACACAAGGATGTTAAAGTCTGGCTAGACTAGACCAGAACCTGAGAGGAGAGTCCAGCCGGTCATTGCAAAAGCCCGGTCCGAAGCCAGACTTCCTAAAGTTCAGGCCAGCCCTCTCTGCATCTGCAGAACGCTGTTTTACACCCTCACTTCTGATCAGTAACAATGGATAAGCAATTGATGCAACTCAAGCAGAGATCATACGCGTGTGCATGTATACGTGCCTGCGTGTGTGTGTGTGTGTGTGTGTGTGTGTGTGTGTGTGTGTGTAAAACAGACCGATATATTTCATTCACTTCAAGATGTGATAAGAAACCCGATGGACTGGGCACCCAGTATTGAACTTACTAAGCCCCGTCCTAGGAACTCCATTTCCCCTCTGGCTTTTGGGTTCCTAATCTTAAAAAGTCGGAAGAGCTTGGGGCCCCTGAGAAAGGGAGGAGAGAGAGAGGGAAATGAGAAGCAAACGTCGTCACGCAGGACCCAGAAGGGACACAGGAGACAGAGAGAGGACGGAGGAAGGACGCTGGACACGGGGCAGAAGGAGGGAGGCAGAGCTCAGCAGAACTTTTTTGTTGGTGGTGCTGGTGGTGGGTGTTGTTTTTTGCTTTAAGTGGTGTTTTTATTTTTTGGTAAATTACTACTTTACTGAAGAAGTTAGGAGTGAAAGCGCAGCCCTCGCGGGAGCGCAGCTCCGTGCATCCCGGGTGTGTGCAGACCCGGGTCCCGGCTGGCTCGGTGCAGGCCGGTGCGGGAGGACCGAGCACCGCCGCCGCTTTCCCGGCCGGCTCCGCCAGGGGGCGCGCGCCGCGCGGGGGCGGAGCCGCTTTAAATCGCGGCGCCCTCGGTCCCCGGTTCAGTCCCCAGCCCGCGGGCGGCCGCTGCTTCTCGCGTCTGAGCCCAGCGCCACCCGCGACAGGGATCCTGCCCGGGACCCAGAGGCCCCCCGGCTGCACGGCGAGCGGGAGCCCTCGCTGCCGCCCCCGGAGCCCCGGCCGCCCGCGCCCTCGCCGCCTCCTGCACCTGCCGCCGCCCCGCGCCCGCGACCATGGCCAACGCCGGGCTGCAGATGCTCGGCTTCATCCTGGGCATCATCGGCTGGGTCAGCTCCATCGTCACCACCGCGCTGCCCCAGTGGAAGATGTTCACCTACGCCGGCGACAACATCGTGACGGCCCAGGCCATCTACGAGGGGCTCTGGATGTCCTGCGTGTCGCAGAGCACCGGGCAGATCCAGTGCAAAGTCTTCGACTCCCTGCTGAACCTCAACAGTGAGTGCGCGCGGCCCCAGCCCGACCCCCACCCGAGTCCCCACCCGCGTCGCCCACCGGGACCCCACCCGGCCCCACGGTGGGGGCACCCTCGGCTCGCTCTCCTTTGATGATCTAGTTTCCAGGCGATCACCTGCTCTGCTCACGTACTCCGTGGTAAGGGGCAGAGAGGATCCCTGTCCCAGCCAAGGGAGACCAGGGCTAAGCTCTCGAGTGTTGCCTTTAACACCCCCCCCCCCAGTCACCTCTTTCTGCCTGGTGTGTTTTCCTGTGAAATTCCTTAGCCGGTGGGTGGGGATTGGAAGCTTGAAGGATTCTCTGGAACTTGAGCTCCCAAGTGTCTTCTGAACTTCCTAAGACTCGGTGTCCCTTCAGGGTTCGTAGGGCTGGAAGAAGCAAACATCCAGCGCTGTGCCTTAGTAGACAATTCAAGCGCATAAGGAGAAGGACAGATTTAGAAATGAAATCTCCTCTGAGACTTTACAGTCCTTACTGGGTCACATTCCTTACTCGGTTATATCTCATCTCAGTTTCTTCAACTCACATTTGAGATTGAGTCTTTTGTGATGATTGATTTTGAAGAGCCAGGCAGTGCAGGGAATTAATTCCCTGACAAAACTCTGAAGAACCCTGTGAAGGTTCAGCCCTGAGCTCAGTGTCTTCAGAAGAGGCCCATCGCCCGATATTGTTGTAACGAGGCAAAACATTTTGGAATGTGGAAAAAGTAGAAGCCAGAAGGGTTCCAAGTAAAAGAGAAGAGTTCAGGCCACAAGAGGAAAGCAGAGTTGGAAGCAAGGACAGGGCAGGGAGGGAGTGGAGATGTGGCGCTTCCCGTCCCCCCTTCCGCTGGGGGACTTCTGTGTGATGGACGTTCGCCTCTCATTTTGCAGTTGGAAAGAATGATGTAGAGAGAAATATTTCAAAGGACGCTGCCCAGAGGAATGATAGGATGGCTCCTCGTGCCCCTCTTAAGTGAAAGGTTTTTGATGGCTTGTCAGAAAATCTTTAAATCTCCGCTTAGGTGATAACCTTTGGTGGCTGCATGATCTTCACTGAGAAATCACACTGGCTGTTGGATACCATGTGTCTGTTCCACCCTTTAACCGACTTGAGGGAAAACTTCCTTAGCTTTTACTTAAACAGGACAGCCCGCCACCCCTGACCATGCGCTGAGAGTGGGCAGCGTTGGCACTGTTTCCCACTGGCTGTGTCCACCTGCTAGTGAGGAAAGGCTTCTAATAGAGCGTGTGCAAAGCCCTGCAGTTTAGTTATCGAAGCTGTTCGGGATCTCTGTGACTGTCGCGAACACCTGTACAGTGTCACCAGTGTGCATGGTGGCTTTGTGCACTGTCATTTCAACTTTTCAAGATTACCCTTTCAAAATTCTTTTATGTCCACATTAACCTGTTTGGTTAGTAATGATGAGCGTTGCTTATATCCTGGGGTATATTTTATACTTCTAAAGTGAATAATCAGTAAGTAAGCCACTTGGACTGCCACACAGGAAGAGAAATGCATACCCAGGAACAGTGCCACACAGTGCTGGTAGCTCCTCATGGTCTAGCAGATGGTGAAAGTGCCCAGGGCCATTTTAGAGAGGTCTCTCTGTCAACTCGGTTCTTCTAAACCAAGTAATTCATTTTCAACATGTTTAAATTGGTTTCCTTTAAACTTTCTTAAGTGACCAAATGGAATATGATCAATTCATGCTGTACTCGATCAGAAATTCCATACACATGATTCTATTTTAAGTGCTTTGTCTGAATTTATTCCTCATTAACTTGGTTATTCGAAGTTTTAAAATTGGAAGTCACCATTACTCCCTGATGTGACACCCACTCGTGTCACAGAGTATTCCTTGTTTGTTTAATTAAACAGAAGTACTGAGAGAGGATTCTGTTTTCTGCTTTGGTTGAATCCTCGTTTCATCCAAGCTGGAGCAGTGACCTTTCTCCCAGAGTCAGCTCACAGAGGCAGGAGTCCTGAAACCCAGGTGCTCTCTCCCCACTGGCTGATGACTCATGAGATGCCACTGGATGGAACCCAGAAAGTCCATCTCTGTTTCTTCACCTGAGCCTGGGTGCTCTCACCACCCACCTGATGAGGAGACGTGGGCTGGTGATTCAGGCACTGGTTTTGGTACACTTCTGTAACCTTGAGAGATGAAAGGCATTTTCTGTGTGTACAGAAGTAGCAGTGTACCTCACAAAAGTTTATGTATTCTGAAATGTTTTCAGGTGAGACAGTTTGTCTGTTGGTTTCTGGACAGTGTACCTTTCTGTCTTTGCTGGCAGTGTCACCTTACTGTGCTAACCACTGAATGAAGGAATTTATCAAGGTTCAAACACTGGATAAAAACAAGAGGCCTTCATAAAACTGCATAAAAGAGTAGTACATAATGTATATAGAAACACTGTGCGCAATCCAAGAGATGAGACACAGGTGGTTTACTTTAGGTAGCTCTTGCCAAACAGTTTATGAAAATACAGCTGAGAAATTTCCTGGAGAAACAAACGTTACATTGTGTAACTTGGTTTTACAAGGACTGAGACAGTTCCCATCCCAGCCCATTCCATAGGGTGCTTGTTGACACAAATGCCTCTTCCAGCTGAAAATGGGAATATTCTGATATTCTGGCTCAAAGGAGAATATCACAATCAATTTGAATGAATGTTTCTTGATTAACCCATGTATCTTGATCCAGTTCTCCAACTTTTGGGAAGGAAATGCTTAGTTAATTTCATGTGCTTAGTTAATTGCTGCTTTTTGCTGGACTTTAATAGCTAGAGGTGTCAAAAGATTGGGCTATCAGGGTGGGTTGCAAGTTGAGAGGTATCCAAGCAGAGGATAAGTAAGCATTTTACAGAAATGCTGTTGGGAGGATTCAAGCACCAGACAAATGGGAGGTTAGGCTAGACTCTCTTTTAAGTCTCACCTAACTCTGAGATTCTGTAATTTGTTTCTAGGCTACTCTAGCCTGTTAAACTTGCTCTGCATGAGCTCACATGTGTGTAGGTGTGTTTAATGAGTATTGGTTGTCATGAGGTTTCCCAGTACTCTCTCCATGATGTCAGGTGCAAACAGAGAAGCAAAAACTCACTGACTTGGACAATCTTTGAAGTATAGGCAGAGAGGAAATCATTCACTTACACTTCTCCAGCCTGCTGTGTACCTGAGAAATTGAGGGCTTTCAAAGGGCCCTTGGTGGTGTGTTGTTCTTTCAAGAATTACTTCTGACTCTTGGAGTCATGAAAGTTGAATTGGAAATCCAGGCTTGAGATTAGAAGTTCTAAATCTTCACTCTGAGTTTGCACTAAAGTATCCAAATGTAGACTGGTGAACCATGTGACCTGGCTCAAGAAAGCTCCCCACCTATAAAACAACAGGGTAGGAAGAACAGAGAGATGAATCCAAGATTCATTCATCCATTCCACACCCACGAGCCCAGCCCTTTTCTCATTCCTAGGGATGTAACTAAGATGATTCCCAAGGTTTCTTCTGAAACTGCCAGCATTTTTGGTTGCTAACTTCAGTGACTAGGTAGGGCAAAGCAAGTGGTTTATCTAAGGTTTCCTTGATTGGAGTGATGAGTGAATGCCAAGAGATGACACAGAGTCATAAAGCGAATCAGGAGATAACTGAGAAACCAACAAAAAGGTTAGCAGACTTCTCAGGATATTCCAACAAGTGCTAAGCCCATCCTCAGACAGGACCAGTTCAGTGCATTGCCCGTGCTCACTGACTAAGGTCACACCTAGTGGTCCCCAGCTCTTATACTAATAAAATAGAAATATTAACAATGAGGACTCTTGTGAACTTCGGAAGGTCAGTGAAAGTAAGAGATCTCATAAATGAAAATTCCATAGGAGCGTAGTTCTGGGATGCTGTGTGGTGAACTCATTTAATTGCGGAGGATCAAAGAGTATTTTTGTTCCAGTCATTCAGTAATCAGTGTTTGGTTTTATTTTGTCTTATTTTTATTTACCTAATACATCTCAGTGACTCTGAAACAAAGAAGAACTGTGTGAAGATAAAAATATAATTGAAATCCATTTTGTTTATGAAATATAGTATACAGGGTAAGAATTCAGTAATGCAGATTATGGTTAGTAAGCACCATAAACAATGCTAGGTATTTACAGCAGACTGTGTTGCTTGTGTAGCAAATCTTTAAAGCTTTAAAAAAAATCCACACACTTGTCTATGCTTGTCTGTCTACACTCAATGTTGATTAACATAACTGTAGTAGACCAGTTCTGTCCAACTCCTTTCTTATGAGTAGAGATCTTTGTAAGTATTTTTTATTTTTAATTATACTCCCAAGTTGTAAGCTGCGAGGACTCCTTAGGGGGTCTCTAAGCTCAAGATTATCAGTCTGGCTAAGTATAATTAAAAGACTGGCTTCTCTGTTTACTGCTAATTAATGACAAGAAACAATAGTGTAACTTTTTGAATGTTTGCTAACCACATTCCCTGGAGACCATTTTAATTAGTTATCCTGATTTTACAGAAGTATCTGAAAATTTGAGACAGGGGTACTAGATTTGATGGAGTCAGATCAGTTCAAAGTTAATCGCAGAAAGCTCTGTTCTATGATTCAAAGTGTTATTTCATAGCTTTCAAACATTTCTCTTAACCTCTCTGTTTTACTCCTTAACATATCACTAGGGAGAAAAAGAAAATTAATCTGAGGAGCTCATCCTATACATAAGTTTAAAATTAAGTCAAGTTAAGCAAAAATTACAGTTTTGTTTCTCCTTTCTGCATGAGTTTCTAGCTTTTAATGATCTAAATAAAGTCTAACTTTAAAGCCTCTGTAAAGAGGTGTTTTCACTCTCTCAAAAGTTCAGCTAAACAGGAGAGTAGTTTTGCATGCCACATTATTACAGTTTTTGAAGGATAAAGACTTTATTGTGATTTAAATCATTGAACAGAAGCTGCATAATGAATCCATGTGACTCGGCAAGCCTGCTGGGTTAGTGCTTTTCATGGAAACCTCATAAATACCTGATTCAAATCACCTACAAACTCTCAATGACATAGTTTTGATTTGTAACTTAAAAAGACTTGCACAAGAGCTTAATTTGAAAGAATTCACACAGCTGCAAGCTGTGCAATTTAGATTTGATCTGTACATGAATCTCTTATAACTTGTAACACAGTAGTTGCTTACAGTGACTTCTAACCTATCATTACTAAGACCCAGCCACTGAACTTTCATGTTGGTAGGCTTCTCAGCTCCTTTGTGCTTACACATATGTAATATTACATTGCTTTTTTTACATTACATTCTTATAGCTTAGAATTTATACTGATAGATGTCTTATAGGAAATGAGGTGAGGTTTTGTGTTTGATGTCAATCTACCATTGTAAAATTAAAAAAAAAAAAATCACCAGTCAGTGGTGAATGTGAAGAAGTGCTTCGCAGCATCACATTTTCAAAATACTTAAGCCCTTTGTTCTCTGTGGTTTATAGGATTCTTAAGTTTTATTTTGTTCGTTTTCTCCATTACTGTTTGCATATTAGACAAATAGCACATTGTTTTATAATGAAATAAACCATGATGGGGCACTGGCCAGCACTGGACAGAACTCCTACCCTTTCCTCCTTAGAAACTTTACAAAATAAGGGGTAAAATAGGTATGGTGTATTGAATGGATTCTTGTCCATGTGAAAGGGAAAATGTTGACAGATTAAAACTGTGAATATTGGATCAGTCTAGTTTGGTGTAGATGGAGCCTGGGGGAGGTCATACATGCTTCTTCCTTGCTTGTAGCCGAGGTTTTATACAAGCCTGACACACGAGATAGAAGTCTAGGAGACTCTTCGTGAAAGATCCTCATGGCTGGGGGCTCAGTCTTGCGGGGGTAGTGGCCTGCTATTCTTACATGATGAACAGATCAGTGTGATTATTATACGAGCTAAGTACAGTATGAAGCCCTATAACATGAACGCAGTGGAAAAATGGAGAGAGAACAGAGAAAGCAACAAAAGTAAGTAACAAAAGGTTAGAAAGCTGAGTAATTATGATATAAGGCAGCGCAGGTGACTGTGAGAGGTAAGAGGCTATGCATATTTGAAAAGCGGCCATAGCAATATTTTCCAATTGTATGATCTCTATACTGGGGGTAAAAGTACATCATCCCTGTCTTACCATCCTCCAGTGAAGTTTTATTACATTTAAAGTAGATACTAGTTGGGCAGAGTGGTGCTTGCCTGTAATTCCTTGGGAGGCTGAAGCAAGAAGACTGTGACAAGTTCAAGGTCAGCTTGGGCTACATAGTGAGTTCCAGGCCAGCCTGAGACAGCAAGACCCTGTCTCAAAGGAAACAAAGCAAAGCAAAACTAACAATGGACACCCAAATCCCTACTCAAACATACAAAGTTCTGCAGAGTAGTCTCTGCCTGAAGCTCATGTCTTATCTCACAGCTCATTCTCCATTAGAATGACCACCTCTCCCAGTTTCTCCAAGGCTGAGAACTTCTTAGATGTAAGACTTATTTTTAACAAGGACAGGACCAGATAAACTGGCACAAACATCACTCTGTCCTTCCGAGGTATGGACTAACATTGTTACTTCAAAACTCACATACTTTCCTTCTGAGCAGAGTCCTAGGACCAAATCTGTAATCTATTCTATAAATAAGACTATACAGCCAAGCATGGTGGCATACACCTGTAATCCTAGCATTCAGGAGGCTGAGGTAGGAGGATTGCTGCAAGTTCAAGACCAGTCTGGGCTACATAGTGAGTTCAGGGGCAGCCTGAACTATACGGTGAGACCTGTTCTCCGAAACCCCAAAACAAAGAAACAAAAAAGAATTTAGGTATCATCTAAAATGTCTTTTGGTAATTATTGTCTTGCAGAGCTGCTAATACATAAAAGGAAAGTACACACCTTAACTCCAGCATCTGTGGTACTTTCCTCTTCCTGCCGCAATATGGTTTATGATTTCAGGAACAAAATTCAATGGTAGTCTCCTAAACAGTTTCAATTCCTTAATCTGTTCAGTAATCTGTTCCTCGATCCAGTTCAGTAAATCAGTGGTCTGTGGAGCATGGATTTTGGTCCAGTAGTTCCTCTGTCCACTTGAATCTGGACTCTTAAGATGGTGTTATGTGGATGGGTGGCGTGCATGCTCCCACAGTATGAGCAGGTGAATATCTAATGGGAGGCAGAGAACTACTGGGCTCTGTTTTTATTTGAATAAGAGAGGTTAGGACCAGGATCTTCTCACTAAGCTACATTCCCAGCTCTTTACTAATTTGTGAGTTTGAGACAGAATCTTGCTAAATTGCCAAGCTGCCCAGTCTGGGTTCGATTTGTGGCCTCGGTTCCTAGAGTACTGGGATTGCAGGCATGTGCTGCTATAGCTGGCTTGTATTTTTTAATGAAATCAAATAAAAATTTATATTTGCCTTTTCAAGTATCACCCAGATACTATAAAATATAATTATTTTTTGTACTGGGGATCATGATCAAACTCATGACTGCCCGCTTGCAAGGCAGGTGCTTACACCACTGAGCTAAATCCCCAGCCCCTAAAATATAATTCTTGATGCGTCTTAGAGATTATTGTGCCTTTGTAACAGATTTTGGAAAATAATAATAAAAATGTCAACAAATTAAGATTTAATGATGCTTTCAACGTACTTAACTTTGATGTGATTGGTGTGTTAAGTTCTCTGCCTGGAAGATCCTGAGCATGAGTATAAAATACGTGCTGGGATATAAAATCTTTCCATCTTCTCAGGCACTTTTGAACACTAGCAGGGGCTCCATTGTTCTAACTCCCTGGAGATATATCCACATTCATGTTTTATGCAAGAGAAACAAGATCCCAAAGAATACTATGTAGCTGACCTAGAGACCTAGTTTGTTACAATGTGAGTAGTATTATGTGTGCAAAGACTCTTGTCATGTGTTAGTGCTGGCCATGAGATAATGATCTTCAGTGGAAAATAAAAAACTCTATAATTTAAATGAAATATTGCAGCTCCTCTCCCAAAATCTTGTAGCCAGTATAGTTCGTAACTTTTTTTTTTTTTTTTTAAGTTGGCATTTGCATGCAACAGTGATACTGTTAACCTGGTATTCTTTAAGAAACTGTCCATCATCGAACCTGGGTGCTGGTTCATTAGCCGATAACGCTGTGACTATGGTCAGTGAAAATGTCACCAGAACAGAATCCTATTAACTCCTAATTAGATTTTCTCTTCTGCACACAACAGTGAGCTCTGCTTGGTCTCCTATTGTGTTTTTTGTTGTCGATATACCTGTGGTTGTTTACATGACCTAACATGTATCTTTCCAGGCACTTTACAAGCGACCCGAGCCTTGATGATAATAGGCATCCTGCTGGGCCTGATCGCCATCTTCGTGTCCACCTTGGGGATGAAGTGTATGCGGTGCTTGGAAGAGGATGAGGTCCAGAAGATGCGAATGGCTGTCATTGGGGGCGTGATCTTTCTTATCGCAGGTAAGAGAGTTTGGCATCCATCTGTCTGCACTGCCCTGTCCTGATATAGTTTGTAACCTAGCATTCCGTTTCCTTGGGTTATGCTGGATTTATCACACTTGAAATCGTTGGAGACCTTTTATAACCTGTGGACATGGAACCAGACTTTCATGATCTCATTTGGAACCAAATGAAAATTTGACATCTGTTGACATCTGTCAAGAGTGTTGTTGGTTAGAAACAGTCTTCACAGACAAAGGAAGAAGTGTGCTATGTAGCCAGTTCCCTGGGACAACCTCACATAATTTAAAAAATGTCTATGGTGGCTCCACAGATACTACATGGAGAAGAAGAGGTGTAGTGGGATAAAATATGAGTAATGTGTGATCATTCAGGACTGCAAAAGAAGGGTGGGATGGGGTTGAGAGAAAAGAGGGCAACAGTCCAAACAGACAGATCGAATTCCATAATAAATAGGATGCGCCACAGGTGGGAGAGGAGGAAGGCCAGGAGGGGTAGAAGTGGGATCTTGACATGCCAGAAAATTCAGTAAGATGAGTTAAGAAAGAAGACAATTCAGAAGCACCTTCAAGCAAAATACTGATAAAAATGAGGTTATATTTTCTGCATAAAATAAATATGTATTTGATGTGCTAGTCCATTTTTGGCAGAATCATTAGGTTATGTGTCACTGGGAAAGGAAACTTAGAAGATAGAAAATACCATATCAGAGCTTTATATTAAGACTTATTTTAAATATAACAGATAATACATTGTAAATAGACTGTATGTACATAATAAAGATAAATTGTAAATGGTTATATCTGTACTATAGATGTGTAGTGTATAGATCTAACAATAGACTGCTGCATATACTATATATAGGTGTGTATCTGCCTATGATTTTTTAAGACAACAATGATATAAATCTGCTACAATGAGAGTGGAATTGGACCATCTTTTTTACTGTTTTTGCTGATAAAATATCTGTAAGAGCTTTTGCTCCACCTTAACACATGGGTTTACCACATGAAAGAAAGGTGTCAAGGACTTGTTTAAAGATGTGGTTCAAGTGACTGGTCATTCAGTTTTTCTGATGCAAACCAGCACCTATCTGAAAAGCACAAATGCTGTGTTAATCCTACCAGTGTAACCTTATCTCAAGGGCAGTGAATACGCTGGCTCTGGAACACCCTTACTCTGCTTGCTTATGTGTCACACGTGGGGGACTGTATCACTCCTTTCCAGACTCAAGGACTCCTGTGGAGTGCTCTCTGCAAGTTCCAGAGCTTGTGCATGGCCACTGGCTCTCTGTCAAGTATTGGAGGCAGTTAGATTAGACCTTTTTTTTTTTTTTGGCAGAGGAATACAATTGGCATAAACATGAAACAAGCAGTATCAGTTCGTTCTTAGCATCACATGAAAAAAAGATACGTAATTTCTTTTAAATCTATTTTTAATCAACAGATAACATGCATTTATCTTACACCATGTGATGTTTTAGAAGTTATAGACATTTGAGAAAGAGTAAGACAATTACAATATGCTTTACCCCACATGTATGTGTTAAAAACACTTTTACATCCATTCTCTTAAACAGTTTTCAAAACCATAACCACCATTTTGACATATCTCTTGAATTTATTCCTGCTGTCTTACTGAAATGTTGTATCTTTTGATTAATACCACCTTTGGCTAAGAAAATCTGATGTATTTTAAAATGACCACATGGGGAATTTTGATTAAGCAAATTTCTCTGTCATTATTAATATAAAATGTGCTAGAAAAATGAGCTCATGTTTTATAATTTCATCTGGTGTTTCACGCGTACTCACTCATATCAATGTCAGATGTCACCTTGGCCAGAAGGCCAGTAGGTATTCAGATGTAGCTGCACCATTCTGAGACAGATCTTGTCAGTCTGTTGTCCAGTTGTTTATTTTGCAAGGCCCATCAGAAATAAAAAGTTGGACTGTGGTCAGTAATGTAGAAGAATTTTCATGTTATATTTTGTAAGCAACTGTATACTGCTGATAAAAACAGTTTTAACAAGTATACTAAACTACAGTACAACTCTTTCTTTGAAGGAGAACTTGAACAAGGGGAACCTAGTGAATTATTTCAAAAAAAAGCATTATTCATGCCAGGGGCATTGAAATAAAGCTAAATAAGTTATCATAAGTATTATAAACTATACCTGACTCCTTCTTAATAGTTTATATATCTCAATGTGGAGTCCATCATATTTAAATCAAATCTGTTTGACCTTAATACTAAAGTAAAAATGTCAGCTCCACTGACAAAGTTTAATTCTCATAGAATATATTCATGTTTAATAGGTTGTGCTTTTCTGCCTAGTGTTCCCTGGTGATTAACCATCTTTTGTTCTGAATTTTTCTAGGTCTCTCTATTTTAGTTGCCACAGCATGGTATGGTAATAGAATTGTCCAAGACTTCTATGACCCTATGACCCCCGTCAATGCCAGGTAATGCTATTCAGGCTTACATACTTTACTCCCAGAGGAAATACCTTTTATGCTCAACAGCATCCTGCTAGCTCCATAGTTTCACAGATTTGCTTTTAGGAATTATATATGAAATTTCATGTCAAACTTGCATACAATTTAAATGACCTGTGACTCATGTTAAAATGGATTTGATAATTGTTTTAATAGACTCAAAGTAAAGTTGTAAGCTGTGTAATTCCCAACTGCATACTATAACTTTTTTCCCCTAAACATTAGCAAACATGTTAATAAATTTGAAATTGTCTTTTTGAAGTACATTCTGATGTCCCCTGCACCTCATTATTTATAACAATGCAGTTTATGACTGATTGAAAAAGAATACCCTTCACATAGTGCTTGATAAACAATACTTCATCCCCAACAGTTAAATTGGCATATAAAACTATAATGCATTTTTACTAGTACATTGAGATACTACTCAAAAATTTTATGTTCCATCACAGCTATAAAATTAGCATTACAAAGGTCATCTGTCTTAATATTACAAGTTGTGCAAGTTAAAAAGCTGATTCTTGGCTCTCATGTAACACCACTCTTTGATCAGGGACTGTGCTTTTTGTCTCAATGCCATCATCACATCTTTAAAGCTTAATAACTGCGTTCAAAGTCAGCATGCTAAAACATAATTATTGTTTGTAAGCGCTGGGATGAATGAAAAATCTCAGTGTTTGCAAAGATAAGATGAGCATCTTTCCCTATAGTCACCTCCAAACAAAAGAACACAGAGTAAAATGGTTTTTGTTGGAGCCCAGCCCGTAAGATTTACAATGTAGGGTTAGCAACTGCTGGAGGTCAATCGGCCAAAATTCTATCAGCATGTGCGTGAAAGCAATTTACAAATTACTGTGCAGAATGCATTCATTTTTTTACACATCACATGTGATCCTGAAAGCAGCACAGGGTGGTAGATAGATTTATCCTGGTTTGGAAGAAAACACTGTAAGGGAAAGGGAAGTTGCTAGCCCTGAACTGCAGTAGTTGAGTGTGTTTGAGATGCAAATTCAGACCTTAGAGCTTCTAGATCCAGCCCTTCATTCTGTGTATTTTCCACTTAACTAATAATCTGGTGTACTATACTTTTTTTTTTTTTTTAACATCAGTTTGATGCAAAATGTGCCTGGGTTGTTCAAGAACCTTTTTTATAAAACATAAATTTTTGATCTTCATAATATAGATATCAGAGATCGATTATTGAAAACTCTACTCCATCATCTAGTGGAGTCTGCTTGTACAATATTTGCTACTTGATGATAACATGGCTCCATAAGCTTTAGGCTAGGAACCATCATTGTACAATCCCCACCTCTAAAATGTGTAACTATGCTTCACAAGCCTGTATTGCATGGCAAAGGCTTTGGAAATAATTGTGTAATTAACAGCACATGTCATAGCTTGATGTAATATTGCAAATTGTCAATAATTACAGTTTAAATATTCTTGTGTACATGCACTTACAAACAATGAACTACCCTCCCAAGAGATTATGGGTGGGGAGAACTATTTTCAGGGGGAAAATAAAAACTATTTTCAGTGAGAAAAAAACTTAATGATATATGATATAGATTTTCTTTCTTAATTAGATGTTAAAAATTGTCAAATCGTTGCTTAAAAACTGCACCATCTTCTCACCTTAGGTATGAGTTTGGTCAGGCTCTCTTCATTGGCTGGACTTCTGCAGCTCTCTGCCTTCTGGGAGGCTGTCTACTTTGTTGCTGTTGTCCTCAAAAGGCAGCCTCCTACCCATCACCCAGGCCTTACCCCAAACCTGCACCTTCCAGCGGGAAAGACTACGTGTGATGGAGGCAAAGGAGCCCGTGTCCATCGGAAGCAAAAGGAAGCAAACTTTGAAGTGTCATCACTGACCTTGAGGTCAGAGACTTTTGACTGATGCTCTGAACTGCGTCATTACAAAGGACACCATATTTTTATAAATATCAATTGCTGGAAGCAGCCTGGTCTTATCTTCCCTTCTTTCCTCCGTACAAGAGGGAAGCCCTTTCCATTTGTATCAAGTGCTTTCCTCTGAGGAATCACACTCAGATGGGAGGGAAGGATGGACGCTCCTTAAATATGTATAGATGTGTGTATATACATGTTTTTCTATAAAAAGTTTAGTAAAAATCTCTTATTCACATTATGTTGGAATCAACATACTTAAAATATTTCTAAGATACAAAATATATATGTATTCCCTTTTGATTAAGACATTTATTGGTATATTTCCTCCTCCTCTATCTACACATATATTATAGAGCAACTATCATTTAATCCCTGTTATGTTTTTACTGTCTTTGCCATAGACCAAAATTGTTTGCCAAGCAACAGTTTCCATTCTTCCTGTGTAACCTTTTGTATCTTATTTTATTTTATTGTATCACTTATTTGTTCATGAGGTCCTTATCTTTGTTTCTGAAAGTGAGTCTCTTGACCCTGGAGTCTGACAATGCTTGACGTAGACTACAGTTTAAGACCAAAAGCCAGTAAGAATTCCACTAAAAATCCATGTGGTGAGCCAACATCTTTTTCCACGACCCGACGATATTTTCTTGTAACTTTCCCACCTCTTCCTTGTGCTTTGACCTAAAACACTCTTTATTTGCTTTGAAAATATTTGTTTCATTGAATAGCTGTGCCACTCATCTGAATATTGTGACACAGTCTCATTGATTGAATTTCAAAGGTACTTACAGTCCCATTCCCCCCCCCCAAACTATTGGTTTCTTTGTCTTTTTTTTTTTACTATTTTTTTTTCTCATGTACTCGTGTCATGTATTTTACCTTTCCCCAGGAAGGTGTGGTCTGTTTATCTAAACATAGTGCTAGACTTGCTGGAGTGATAATCTGATGACAAATATTCTCTGTGTAGCTGTGATCAAGTCACTTAATCTTTCTATCTCTTTTCCCATCTGATAAATTGAAATAATTATGCTTAAAAAGCTGGTACAAGTGATGCGAGTATTAATTAGTTGATATGACTCTCATTCCTTTAGTGTGAATGAGCTATGCTTAAGTAGTATTTTCCTTTGCTCAGTTGGCAGTTTCGAAGTCACTGAATAAAACCTGAACACATGACTTCACATTGTCCAATATCTTTATCTTTTCAGAGGCCCCTCACCTTTAGCCATGCCTAGCACGCTGTTGGTGCTCTGTTCCATTTTCATAACTCCTTTTCCTGTTCCAGTCTGTAGCAGATGCTGGTTCATTGAGCAACCTGATGTAATAAAAAAGGGTGTTGGCTTTGATGTGCAGAGCACTGAGTTTAAATCCTGGTGCTACCAATTATTCTGATGTTTGGCAAGGCACTTGGTTGCCCTAGATATATTGCTTCATCTGTGAAAAAAAATGTTTGTGATTCCAGGCCTGCCGGTGTCACAGGGATATTGTGAGGATCCAGTGAGATAGGACATGTGCACATGTGGCTTTTTAAAGTGAAATATGAAGGGATTAAGGAACTCAAGTGCATAGGTTCAGTCATGTACTTTGCAAATGAGTGAGAAGAGATTAGTTTTAAAAACAAGGTTTCTTTCATTACCCAGCCTCCCTAGAGGTGAGACCCTAACCTGAAATTCAGCTCAGTGAATGAAAAAGATTCCAAGGAAGTTCTGGTTTCTTCCATCGGTTTGGACTGATGTTCCTGTAGCTAAATACATGTAGTGTAGGAAGTAAAGCCTGAGTGCTGGCAAAGCCCATGATGTAGGAGAACGTTTGAAGTCTGTCCTGTGAGGGATCATAAGGTGGCGCTTGTTAAGTGTTGCCTTCAGAGTTGTTGCAATTGGGTGTTACCTAACACTGCTAGGATAATTGGAGAATGGTACTTCATGGGAAACCCACATGGGAAGCTCTGAAAAAGACTGTGTCCTGAAGATCTGAAGCAAGCAATCTTCACTGTGTCCTCCGAGTTGGACAGTATGTTTCTAGAAGTTATCATTCAAAGAGTACTTTCTACATATATAGCTCTTAATGGTGTGTAAATACAAATGTAGATGGGAAACTCCAAACTCATTTCTAGTCAAAACTGATCCAAAAACATTTTTATGCCAAAATATATCTAGTTTTGATATTTCCATAGCCTACTACTGTGCCTTGAAATGGACCAACAGATATTGGGGGAAAGGGGTAATAAGAATTTGTATAAAGCATTATTCTTTTTCAATAAATTTTTTAAAAATAAAAGGATCCATGGTTTGTTTTCTTATCCCTTATTTCAAGATGGTTATGCTTGCAAGAGGAAATAGTCTGAGGTAAATATGATTCATTGTGTTCCTGGGAAAAATTTATGAAACCTCTGGTTCCTAAATACCTATCAAATATTTCCACTCTTCCCCTCAGTAGGATGCGTGTCTGTCTCAGACTGAGCTCGTCTTCAGGCTATTCATAAAGGAATACTGGGAAATGTTGCAGAAGTATTTTTTAATCCATAAACTGGGGCCACATAGCAATGAATGAATGAAGAGGAGAAACAGAACTCAATGACTGTTCTTGTTGTGATTATTATCAAAACTACCTCTCAGGAAAGCAGGGGGAAAACTCCTTACTCATTTTCTTGATAAATCAGCAACATCTTAAGAGTGACCTCTCCCTGGCCAATTTTTACATTAATAAGACAAGGCCTGTGGGCAAAGGGCAGGAGCTTTCCTGAGAAGTCTGAGGCATTAGCACGATGGGGAGGGAACAAGACCATCGCTGGTCCATTTGATTTGAATTCCTTTTAAATCAAACAGAGCAGAATCCAGTGCATTTGTGAAAAATTTAATTAGCTAGTGGCGAGGTTTAGGCCCACATAATTTAAGGAAATAAAACTCCTGGAGAGAAAGCTAGACTGAAACTTGCACCAAACAGACATCCGCCTCTGTGTGCACTCACTTGCATGAGTGACATTGTTCTCTAAACCACGCCACTGTTCCTCCCTCTCATTTAGTAGTTTCTATTTAGATTTAGGGAAAAATCCACCCCATTTCACATTTTTTTTTAGTTTGTGAATCCTACCATAATTTGGCAGACATTTGTCTATTCCTTTATTTATTTGTTGCAGGTAGCTCAGGTGAGCAATTTGTGTTCTCCTCCTCACTCTGTGTATTCCCCATTTACCCCCAGACTGACCTACAGTCTCTTACTTACTGAGCTGTGGAAACTGGTAGAACGGATGACAAGTTCCTGGGTGACGTGGGTACAACTCAGTGATCGTGAGACAGGTAGAATCTCTCCATGGCGAACCCCTGCAAATCTCATGGTGTTTGGAACACTTGGCTTCTGCTGACAAATGTTCCCAAAATAGCCAATATTGGCCATTGGAAATGAGATATGAATTTCTTAACTTAATATTTGCTGGATACTTGCTGTGGACTGCACCATTAAATGCAGGCAGGTTCATGGAGATACAGAGGAGTAAGACATAGTCCTGGGCCTGAGAACGGTATGAAGAATGTTTACTGGGAAGAGAAATGCACTTAGTTAGCACTGGTTGTGCCATGATCAAGCATGTGTGCTGTGGAGAACTCCACCCACTGTGCCCTAATTTGTAAAATCAAGGGTGTAGATTCATGCAGTTTTTCTTCATCGTAATAGCAAGTTAAAATCACCTGGATGGAGTGCTAAGAATTTCTGTCCCGGCTAGACTGCTTACTGAGACTTCTACGGCCTACAGGCCTCATGGAAGGACTCTTACAGACCGGAAAGACACACAGTGATCTTTTAATATATTATGGAGGATGTCAAAGATGTAAGATCTAGCCAATTGCTCAGTACACACAATTAAGTTGCCATTTGACTCTTCCGGGAGAACATGGCGGACAGATAACAGCAACTACCGGCAGCTCTCTGAAAGACTCGGCTCAGAAGCCAGGAATGGTGCGGACTAAGGAGACATAAGCAGGTGGAGATATGCTCTGCTGACTCAGGAACGAACTGGGCTGAGAGAAGCCAACTTGGAATGCAGTCCTGGTGCTAAAACAGGAACAGAAAAGACTCAGTGTGGAGGCTGGAACCGCGCCATTGTAAGCCGCGATTTGGGTTTCCCGCCGCGCAGTGGCTGGCTGCCTCTACAGCGGCTCGGCAAGGGGAGAGATGTGCAGAAGCTCTGAGAACGGCAATCTGCGAACGGCAGGGAGGCGTGCACTGACTTATGGTGAGGTGAGTGAGACAAACTGACACTCTACCACAGTTTGACTCCAGCAGAGGACTTTCTGGGCCCGAGCAGTCCTGCGGGAGCAGGGCGCGGTGGCGACTCCAGCCACACATCCCCCTCTCGGGCGGGATTGGTGAAAAGTGCCTGGCCTGTGTGACGCTGCCGGCGGACCTGGTAGACTGTCCCAACCCAGATCCCAGAGCCTGACGGTGGCCGGGAGGGGAGACGCGTAGGCTGCCTGGTCCGTAACTCCCTGGTGCGCAGCGGTGAGCGGGAACACCTAACTGGCGCAATTCGATCAGGCTGTGGCTGACTGGGAGAGAAGCTGGGCCTCTTATATAAGCTTGCATATATAAGGAACAGAGAAGAAGAGGCAGCATGGGAAGAGGCAGCAACAAGAAAGTCTCCTCGGCCCCCAATTCTGAGAAACAGGCAATAGCAGACACCGCACCAATACACATAAGGCACCATATAGAGAGCCTCATAGACCAATTCAGGAATGAAGTTATCAACGACCTGAAGCTAGAAGTATGCAGAATAGTTAGAGAAATGCTAAGCACCACCCAAGAAAAAACAGGTGATGGAATGGAAGAACAGAAAAAAAGGGGAGAATTGTTTGATGGAGAAAACAGAGAAAGCATAGAATACGTGAAGCAGGTTCAAAGGGACTACCAAGATACTAAGAAGTCTATCGAAGACTGGCATAACAGCTTGAAAGAAACTAAGGACAGACTATCTGAACTGGAGGGCAGACTTGTAATATGGGAGAATGAAATGAAAAACTTCTTAAAAATAACAAAGAAACAAACAGCAATAATACAAAGACAAGAAGATGATAAGAGGATCCATAACTTAAGGATTAAGAACATAAAAGAAGAAGTAGGGATGCAAACAAGTGAACTACAAAAGCTACTCACAGAAATAATCCAGGAGAATTTTCCTAATTTAGCAAAAGGTAAAGATACTCAGATGTATGAGGCATACAGGACCCCAGCTACCTACAACCCAAACAGAGCAACACCCAGGCATATAATAATAAAAATTCCAGAAATTCAATACAAGAACAGAATATTAAAAGCTGTAAGAGACAAGAAACAGACCACTTACAAGGGAACACCCATCAGAATTACAGCAGATTTCTCTGCACAAACCATCAAATCACGAAGAGCGTGGGGGGAAATAATTCAAGCATTGAAAGATAATAATCTCCAGCCAAGATTGAGATATCCTGCACAACTGTCCCTGGAAATTGATGGAAAAACAAGGTGCTTCCAGGATAAAGAGGAACTGGGGGAATTTGCAACCACCAATTCAACTCTACAGAGAGTATTGCAGGATATTCTAAAAAAAGAAAACTGCAAAGAATCCATAAATAGTGGCGGGGAGGCCACAACGAATGGAGCAGAGAACAAAATGAAGAAGACAAACTGACAGCTACTGACAGAAAAAGAGCTTAACAGAAATGAGGCAGAGAAGATTGGATGATAGGAACAGCTATTTTGGAGAAAATGACATCTTAATAGGTAATACTGATTTAGTATCATCTTGTTTTGAAGTCTCATCTAGCTTTTGTCCTTCTGTCTCCAATGGTCTAAATAGGCTGTATCTTATTGGATTTTATTATGTACAATAGTATAAGCAAAAACCTTTTAAAGACAAGGAGATTATACAGAAACCATTGTTCATTTTCTGTTAGTCGATTCTAAATACTCTGTAATGCTGTCATTCTCTTGAATGGTTTTACATTGTTTTGATATACTTAATGCTACAGTATACGAAGTTGTACTCAAGGATTTCAAAGAAAGAAACAATATGGTAACTACTTTTAGGTTAGGATTATCTGGTGGTGAAACACTATTCTGCTTAAATGGTTATGTTTTGATCTGCGCTGTTTCGTTGTTATGCCCTCTTTTATCTCAATCTCCACTCCATTATTTACTTTTTTATCTTTATCCTTTTAATTAAAGGAAAAAAATAGCAGGATATATTATAGTAACCCATTTTGACTTTTCATTACCTTGATTCAAAGCCCTGTATTACTCTCACCATCTGGTTTTTAACTGATGTTCCCCTATTCTGTTTTGCTGGATAGTATCAGGTTCGAAAGTTTAGGCATCAGCTGTGAAGATAATGAGATTCATTATGACGCCCATTCTTGTTGACTTTTAGCTACTTTTGAAGACCTACAATGTCTCCAATGTTTTGGTTTTGTCGGTTTTATTCTTTACTGTTTTGTTCAATTGTATTATAACTAATGATATAGGCAATTCTATTAGAGATAGCGGGAGACATTATGGTAACCATTGTTGATCACCTGTATTATGTTTTTACATTATCTATTATGTCCACCCTTTTGACTTGACCGATTCTGTTCTGTTATGTCACATTTGGTTTTACTCTCTTCCAAAAAAGTAATAAGAACCGTGGGAGCAATGAAACCCAAAATGTGTAATAGTCATGGTACAAAAGAGAGGAAAAGAAAGTACTCTAAACTATATAACTTCATGTATATTTAAGTGTAAAAGATAGAAAATGATATCACAGAGTTTTATTGGATCAATGAACAGAACTGTTTGCAGTATCATTGATGGAATGTCCACTTTACAAGCTTTAATTTTGTGACTTGAACAATTATTTCTAAGATGACAATATGTAATCCATTAACTAGTGATTTCCTACTGTTTATTTTTTTTCTGTAAATCTGTATAACTTGTACCCTTTCCCTGCTTTTTTTTTTTCTTTTCTCCTTAAATAAAATTAAAAAAAAAAATCACCTGGATGATTTTGAAACGTTCTAATTCCAGGAGCAGAGGAAAACATTTCTGAGGAGAGGATGCTGGCTGAGTTTCTCAGGGATTCCACCATGTAGTCTCAGTCACAAACTACTGGGCTACATTTCTCCCAGGATCAGTGTTGCCCCAAACATTTCTGAGTAGACATACATGTAGGTACTTAGTCGTAGTCATTGCTAGCTATTCAGCCTTTTTCTGATGTTATTTTATTATCTTTTTTGGGATTGGAAGGATTTGTTTCTGGTGGGGGAGGGGAG